TTTTCCTTTTGATTTCTTTTGGAAGCGATCCAAGATCCCAGTTTTCCTTTGGATTTCCTATGGAACTAATCCAAGGTCCCGGTTTTCTTGAAGATTTCCGATGGAAGCACCCCAAGATCCCGGTTTTCTTTTGGATGTCCCATGGAAGCAATCCAAGATCCCGGTGTTCCTTTGGACTTCCTATGGAAGCAATCTAAGATCCAAGTTTTCTTTTGGATTTCCGATGGAAGCAATCGAAGATGCCTGTTTTCCTTTGGATTTCTCATGGAAGCATCCCAAGATGCCGGTTTTCTTTTGGATTTCGTATGGAAGCAATCCAAGATCCTGGTTTTCTTTTGGATTTCCTATGGAAGCAATCCAAGATCCCGGTTTTCTGTTGGAATTCCCATGGAGGCAATCCAAGATCCCAGTTTTCCTTTGGATTTCCTATGGAAGCATCCCAAGATCCCGGGTTTCTTTTGGAATTTCTATGGAAGCAATCCAAGATGTTGGTTTTTCTTTTGGATTTCCTGCGGAAGCACCCCAAGATCCCGGTTTTCTTTTGGATTTTCCTATGGAGGCAATCCAAGATCCCGGTTTACCTTTGGATTTCCTATGGAAGCATCCCAAGATCCCGGTTTTCTTTTGGATTTCCTATGGAAGCATTCCAAGATCCCGGTTTTCTTTGGGATTTCTTATGGAAGCAATCCAAGATCCTGGCTTCCTTTGGTTTTCCTATGGGAGCACCCGAAGATCCCGGTTCTTTATGGATCTCCTATGGAAATAATCAAAGATCCGGGTTTTGCTTTGGATTTCCTATGGAAGCACCCCAAAATCCCAGTTTTCTTGTGGATTTCCCATGGAAACACCCCAAGATCCCGGTTTTCTTTTGGATTTCCAATGGAAGCACCCCAAGATGCCGGTTTGCTTTTGGATTTCCCATGGAAGCAATCCAAGATCCCGGTTTTCCTTTGGACTTCCTATGGAAGCACTCGATCCCGGTTTTCTTTTGGATTTCCTATGGAAGCACCCCAAGATCCCGGTGTTCTTTTATGGAAGCACCCCAAGATCCCGGTTTGCTTTTGGATTTCTTATGGAAGCAATCCCAGATCCCAGTTTTCCTGTGGATTTCCGATGGAAACACCCCAAGATCCCGGTTTTCCTTTGGATTTCCCATGGAAGCAGCCCAAGATCCCGGTTTCCTTTTGGATTTCCTACGGAAGCAATCCAAAATCCCGGTTTTCCTTTGGATATCCTATGGAAGCACCCCAAGATCCCGGTTTTCTTTTGGATTCCTTGTGGAAGCAGCCCAATATCGCGGTTTTCCTTTTTGGATTTCTTATGGAAGTTGTCCAAGATCCCAGTTTTCCGTTGGATTTCTTCAGGAGACAATCCAAGATCCCGGTTTTCTTTTGGATTTCCCATGGAAGGAGCCCGCGATGCCAGTTTTCGTTTGGATTTCTTAGGAAGCAATCCAAGATCCCGGTTCTCTTTTGGATTTCCGATGGAAGTTGTCCAAGATTCCGGTTTTCCGTTGGATCCCTTCAGGAACCAATCCAAGATCCCAGTTTTTTTTTGGAATTCGTATGGCAGCAGCCCAAGATCCAGTTTTTTTTCATTTATAAGCAATCCAAGATCCCGGTTGTCCTTTGGATTTCTTATGGAAGTTGTCCAAGATCCCGGTTTCCTTTTGGATTTCCTAAGGAACCAATCCAATCTCCCGGTTTTCCTTTGGATTTCCAATGGAAGAACCCCAAGATCTTGGTTTTCTTTTGGATTTCCTATGGAAGCACCCCAAGATCCCGGTATTCCTTTGGATTTCCGGTGGAAGCATTCCAAGGTCCCAGTTTTCCTGAAACCAGTCAAAGATCCCGGTTTTCCTTTGGATTTCTTATGGAAGCCCTCCAAGATCCCGGTTTTCCTTTGCATTTCCTAAGCAAGATTTTGGTTTTCCTTTGGATTTCTTAAGGAACCAATCCAAGATCCCGATTGTCCTTTGGATTTCCGGTTTCCATTTGGATTTCCTAAGGAAGCACTCCAAGATCCCGGTTTTCCTTTGGATTTTTTAGGGAAGCAGCCTAAGATCCCGGTTTTCCTTCGGATTTTTTTGGAAGCAATCCACGGTTCTTGGTTTCCCTTGGATTCCCCATGGAAGCACCCCAAGATCCCGGTTTGCCTTTGGGCTTCCTGGATTTCCTAAGGAAGCAATCCAAGATCCCGGCCAGTTTCCCTTTGGATTTGTCATGCAATTAATCCAAGATCCCGGTTTTCATTTGGATTCCCTATGGGATCAGTCCAAGATCCGGGTATTCATATGGATATCCTAAGGGACAATTCCAAGATCCCGGTTTTCCTTTCCTTTTTTTTTTTTTTTTTTTTTTTTTTTTTTTTTTTTTTTTTTTTTTTTTTTTTTTTTTTTTTTTTTTTTTTTTTTTTTTTCCCAACCATCCTGTGGTGTTGGGTCCTCGTTTTGAAGAGACGTCGCCCCGCGTTCCTTCCTTCCCGCTGCCCCCTCCCTCCTCCCATCTTCATCATCATCGTCATCACCCATTTCGGCACACCCCTCACACGTTTCGGTGCGACCCCATAGGTAAGCTCCAACGTAGGTGCCCAGTGGCTGTGCCCGCTGCGTCACCGCCACTCACACTCCTCATTCTGGCACACCCCTCACAATCGGTTTTCGTGAGCCCTATGGGGGCTCCACCGAAGGTCCCAGTGGTTGTGCCCGCATGCGTCCCGCACCACAACAATTTCGGCCACACCCCGCATCCACGTTTAGGACCCATTCGGGAGCTCGTGTGGTGTGTTCGGTTCCAGTGGGGTGTGCACCGCATGCCGTCCCGCCACAACCCATTTCGGCACACCCCTCACACGTTTCGTGGCCCCATAGGGAGCTCCGCCGAAGGTCCCAGTGGGTGTGCCCGCATGCGTCCCGCACGCCCAATTCGGCACACCCCTCACACGTTTCGTTGCCCCATAGGGAGCTCCACCGAAGGTCCCAGTGGGTGTGCCCGCATGCGTCCCGCACACCCATTTCGGCACACCCCTCACACGTTTCGTGGCCCCATCGGGTGCTCCTCCGAAGGTCCCAGTGGGTGTGCCCGCATGCGTCCCGCACACCCATTTCGGCACACCCCTCACACGTTTCGTGGCCCCACAGGGAGCTCCACCGAAGGCCCCAGTGCTGCCGTCCGCATGCGTCCCGCACACCCATTTCGGCACACCCCTCACACGTTTCGTGGCCCCAACGGGAGCTCCACCGAAGGCCCCAGGGCTGCCGTCCGCATGCGTCCCGCACACCCATTTCGGCACACCCCTCACACGTTTCGTGGCCCCACAGGGAGCTCCACCGAAGGCCCCAGTGCTGCCGTCCGCATGCGTCCCGCACACTCATTTCGGCACACCCCTCACACGTTTCGTGGCCCCATAGGGAGCTCCACCGAAGGTTCCAGTGGGTGTGCCCGCATGCGTCCCGCACACCATTTCGGCACACCCCTCACACGTTTCGTGGCCCCATAGGGAGCTCCACCGAAGGTCCCAGTGGGTGTGCCCGCATGCGTCCCGCACACTCATTTCGGCACACCCCTCACACGTTTCGTGGCCCCATAGGGAGCTCCACCGAAGGTTCCAGTGGGTGTGCCCGCATGCGTCCCGCACACCATTTCGGCACACCCCTCACACGTTTCGTGGCCCCATAGGGAGCTCCACCGAAGGTCCCAGTGGGTGTGCCCGCATGCGTCCCGTCGTCTCTCTGCCCCAGCGGCAAGAGCCTTGCCCGCTATCAGCCAGCCAGCTAACTCTATTTGCTCCGCGCAGTGGACGACCGCGCGCGTCGCTGGGACCCCTCCTGGGCGACCTGCGCGCGACGCGGGGACTCCGCGTTGCGCTGCGCCCGCAGCCTTGGACTTTTGAGTGCGCGGGCAAAGAGGGAGTAAAGGAAGGGGAGGAAGCGGGCGCGATCCTCGCGGGGGGGCGCGCCGACATTGGCGTCGCGGCGCGCGGGCGATGCCGTCGGGGAGTCCCGGGGAAGCTCCTTGCGGCGGCCACGCCCAGCGTCACGAGTACTCAGAGGCAGACATTGTCAAACTATTGACATTCATACACAATTGCGCCACGCTTTGTCATATTCGCATTCATGCACGTCGACTCGTTCGCACGCAGATTCATTCACAGTCAGACGCACGCGCGCAGATTCACCCGCGCTCAGTCTCCCTACGTACTCAGATCAATCGTTTTCGTTCGCGTTGTGTACCACGACACTCATGTCGGCACACCCCTAGCACGGTTCGTTGCCTCATAGGGATCGCCACCGAAAAAGTGAATCACTATTGCGGTACTCACACCTGTATATGGTTGGGTCCCTCGTCAGGCTAATTTTTTTTTTTTTTTTTTTTTTGCAATGGATTATCGCCGTGGACGACAGGACGTCCATGTCGAGAGGAAAAAATAAGAAAAGTGTTGATTTTGTATCGTTTTTTACAGGTTAGGATGGGACCACCCGGATGCGGCCCCTATCTGCCGGCCTGAGGGGGGAGTAGGAGTATATTCTAATAAGGAATAAGGAGTAGGAGTAGGAGTAGTAGTAGTAGTAGTAGTAGTAGTAGTAGTAGTAGTAGTAGTAGTAGTAGTAGTAGTAGTAGTCGTAGTCGTAGTCGTAGTCGTAGTCGTAGTCGTAGTCGTAGTCGTAGTCGTAGGTCGTAGTCGTAGTCGTAGTCGTAGTCGTAGTCGTAGTCGTAGTCGTAGTCGTAGTCGTAGTCGTAGTCGTAGTCGTAGTCGTAGTCGTAGTCGTAGTCGTAGTCGTAGTCGTAGTCGTAGTCGTAGTCGTAGTCGTAGTCGTAGTCGGAGTCGGAGTCGGAGTCGTAGTCGTAGTCGTAGTCGTAGTCGTAGTAGCTGGAGCAGGAGGAGGTTGTAGGTTGCGGCGGGGTCTCATGGTGCCCGCCGTGTCTCAGGATCTGAGGAAACCGAGGAGGAAGAGGAGGGGGAGGAAGAGGAAGAGGAGGACCCTCTGCTGGCGGCGGCGGAGGCGTGATCGACAACGCGCTCGGCTTCGCGGACGAGAACGACGCCGCCGCCTCGGTGCTCGCTGCATTTGCGCCAGCCCTCGTGTTGACAGACACCTCTCGGCCCCCATGTCCTTTCACTCTTCGGAAGAAGGGGCTCGGGGCCTCCCAAGCGGCGCGGTGACTACACCGTCGGGTGAGTCAGAGGTGATCTGGTTTGAGCGGATTGTTTTTCCCAACCATCCTGTGGTGTTGGGTCCTCGTTTTGAAAGCACAGCGCCCCTCGTTCCCACCTTCCCGCTGCCCCCCTCCCGGTGGGTGTGCCCGCATGCGTCCCGCACACCCATTTCGGCACACCCCTCACACGCTTCGTGGCCACATAGGGAGCTCCACCGAAGGCCCCAGTGGGTGTGCCCGCATGCGTCCCGCACAACCATTTCGGCACACCTCTCACACGCTTCGTGGCCCCATAGGGAGCTCCACCGAAGGTCCCAGTGGGTGTGCCCGCATGCGTCCCGCACACCCATTTCGGCAGACCCTCACACGTTTCGTGGCCCATAGGGAGCTCCGCGAGGTCCAGTGGGTGTGCCCGCATGCGTCCCCGCCATTCATTTCGGCACACCCCTCACACGTTTCGTGGCCCCATAAGGAGCTCCGCCGAAGGTCCCAGTGTGGTGTGCCCGCATGCGTCCGCACACCCATTTCGGTACACCCTTCACACGTTTCGTGGCCCCATAGGGAGCTCCACCGAAGGTCCCAGTGGGTGTGCCCGCATGCGTCCCGCACACCCATTTCGGCACACCCCTCACACGTTTCGTGGCCCCATAGGGAGCTCCACCGAAGGTCCCAGTGGGTGTGCCCGCATGCGTCCCGCACACCCATTTCGGCACATCCGTGGCCCCATAGGGAGCTCCACCGAAGGTCCCAGTGGGTGTGCCCGCATGCGTCCTGCACGCCCATTTCGGCACACCCCTCACACGTTTCGTGGCCCCATAGGGAGCTCCACCGAAGGTCCCAGTGGGTGTGCCCGCATGCGTCCCGCACGCCCATTTCGGCAGACCCCTCACACGGTTCGTTGCCCCCTAGGGAGCTCTGCCGAAGGTCCCAGTGGGTGTGCCCGCATGCGCCCCGCACACAAATTTCGGCAGACGCCTCGCACGTTTCGTGGCCCCGTAGGGAGCTCCACCGAAGGTTCCACTGGGTGTGCCCGCATGCGTCCTGCACACCCATTTCGGCACACCCCTCACACGTTTCGTGGCCCCATAGGAGCTCTGCCGAAGGTCCCAGTGGGACAGTCCGCATGCGTCCCGCACACCCATGTCGGCCCACCCCTCACACGTTTCGTGGCCCTATAGGGGCTGCGCCGGAGGTGACAGTGGCACAGTCCGCATGCGTCCCGCCATTCATTTCGGCCCACCCCTCACACGTTTCGTGGCCCCACAGGAGCTCCGCCGAAGGTTTCCGTGGCACAGTCCGCATGCGTCCCCGTCATTCATGTCGACGCACCCCTCACACGCTTCGTGGCCCCATAGGAGCTCCGCCGAAGGTCCCAGTGGCACAGTCCGCATGCGTCCCCGCCATTCATTTCGGCCCACCCCTCACACGCTTCGTGGCCCCATAGGAGCTCTGCCGAAGGTCTCCGTCACACGCTTCGTGGCCCCATAGGAGCTCCGCCGAAGGTCCCCGTGGCATAGTCCGCACGCGTCCCCGCCATTCATTTCGGCACATCCCTCACACGTTTCGTGGCCCCATAGGAGCTCCGCCGAAGGTCCCAGAGGCACAGTCCGCATGCGTCTCCGCCATTCATGTCGGCACACCCCTCACACGCTTCGTGGCCCCATAGGGAGCTCCACAGAAGGTCTCCGTGGCGCAGTCCGCATGCGTCCCGCACACCCATGTCGGCACACCCCTCACACGTTTCGTGGCCCCATAGGAGCTCCGCGGAAGGTCCCCGTGGCACAGTCCGCATGCGTCCCCGCCGCTCATGTCGGCCCACCCCTCACACGTTTCGTGGCCCCACAGGAGCTCCGCCGAAGGTGTCCGTGGCACAGTCCGAATGGGTCCCCGCCATTCATGTCGGCACACCCCTCACACATTTCGTAGCCCCATAGGGAACTCCACCGAAGGTCCCCGTGGCGCAGTCCGCATGCGTCTCCTTCACCCAGTACAGCGTTTCGTGGCCCCATATGGAACCCCACCGAAGGTCACAGCCAGCCAGTTAGCTCTCTCTGCTCCGCGCAGCGGACGACCCGCGCGCGTCGCTGGGACCCCTCCGGGGCGACCAGCGCGCGTCGCGGGGGCTCCGTGCTGCGTTCTGCCCAGCGTCTCGCTCGCCCGTCGTCGCTTTGCCCAGCGGCAAGAGCCTTGCCCGCTATCAGCCAGCCAGCTAGCTCTCTTTGCTCCGCGCAGCGGACGACCCGCGCGCGTCGCTGGGACCCCTCCGGGGCGACCTGCGCGCGTCGCGGGGACTCCGCGCTGCGCTGCGCCCGCAGCCTTGGACTTTTGAGTGCGCGGGCAAAGAAGGAGTAAAAGAAGGGGAGGAAGCGGGCGCGATCCTCGCGGGGGGGCGCGCCGACATTGGCGTTGCGGCGCGCGGGCGATGCCGTCGGGGAGTCCCGGGGAAGCTCCTTGCGGCGGCCACGCCCAGCGTCGCGAGTACTCAGAGGCAGTCGTTCTCGAAGTATTGACAGTCATATACAATTGCACCATGCTTTGTCGTACTCGCATTCATGCACGTAGACTCGCTCACACGCAGATTCATTCACAGTCAGATGCACTCGCGCTCAGATTCACCCGCGCTCAGTCTCCCTACGTACTCAGATCAATCGTTTTCGTTCGCGTTGTGTACCACGCCATTCATTTCGGCACACCCTTAGCACGGTTCGTTGCCTCATAGGGATCGCCACCGAAAAAGTGAATCACTATTGCGGTACTCGCACCTGCATATGGTTGGGTCCCTCGTCAGGCTAATTTGGGACTCGGGTCGTTTTCTGCTAATGTCTCGAGCGCCTGGGGCCTGCAGGGCCCAAAACCGTACGGTGACAAAGACCGCGCGGCGAAGTCCTGATGTTTTCGGTGTCATCGTGCGGGATGTCAATATACCGCTCGGTCACCCCAGGGATCACCACCACCATTCGGCGGTGCTCAAAAGGCGGTTGAGCGAGAGGGGTTGGCCTCCTGAGAACGCAGGGGCTGCTTAGAAGCCCCCACCTCGGGGGCAACACTGGGGGGGATAGGCTCAGAGGGGGCACGCATCGACCTCCAGTCGCCCGTTCATCGCCGATCTGGGCCCAATAACCCACCCCGCCCAGGCACGTGTGGTTTCGTTATCGGGGGCCCATCGCTGGTCAATCGATCGGCGAGGCGTCGCCGATTCCAGGTTGATGCCCCTCCCCCCCGCCGAGTCAGTCTCCCCTTGTCGTTGGCACTCGCCCTCGTTGAAGCCCCGCCCCCCCCATCCTGCCTCCAGGAATGCCGCCCTCTTCGGGGTCGCTCCAGGCGGGCCTTCGCCCCCGAGGGGCCCGATGTGTCCACCCCGCGTTCCCCGTCCTCCTCTCCCTCCTCTTCCTCCTCCCTCGTCCTCGACCTCCTTCCTCGTCCTCCCTCTTTCCCCTTCCTCCCCCCCACGAAGGCAGCTCTTGCGCGGTCGACCGCGCTCCTCTCTCTCCTCCCTCCTCTCCCTCCTCCTCCTCCTCTTCCTCCTCCTCCTCCTCCTCCTCCTTCCCCTCCTCCTCCTCTCCTCCCTCCTCCTCTCCTCCCTCCTCCTCCCTCCTCCTCCTCCTCCTCCTCCTCTTCCTCCTCCTCCTCCTCCTCCTCCTCCTCCTCCCTCCTCCTCCTCCTCTCCTCCGCTCCTCTCGTGGCCGGCTTGGCTCGAGCGGCCCGTGGCGGCGGCGAACCCCGCGGCCTGCCCGTGGCAGCGGCCAGGCCGGCTGCCGCCCGTGGCCTCCATGGGCCACCTGGGCTGCCTGGGCCCGAGCAGGGGCAGGCAGAGCCACGGGGGCCGCGGATCACCGCCGGAGGTCTTCCGTTTTGGTTCCCTCCCCTTTTCTGTCTTCGGCGGTGAACGGGGCGGGTCCTAAAGCCTCCTCCTGTTCCTCCTCCCCCTCCTCCTCTTCCTCCTCCTCCTCCTCCTCCTCCCCTCCTCCATCTCCTTCTCCATCTCCTCCTCCTCTCCTCCTCCTCCTCCTCCTCCTTCCCCTTCCCCTCCTCCTCCTCCTCCTCCTCCTCCTCCTCCTCCTCCTCCTCCTCCTCCTCCTCCTCCTCCTAGGCGTAGTCGCAATCGTAGTCGTAGCTGTCGTCGTCGTTGTTGCGCGGCGGGTGTCGCGGACAAAAAATACAGCTACCCCTTTTGGTGGGACCCTAGTCCTTCAATAAGGCCGCCGAGAAATTCTTGTTACCCCCTATTGGGGGGGGGATTCTAAAGACCTTTCAGGGTTCCAGTGGTCTGCCTTTCAGACCCGGCGCAGGCGCACGGTGAAAGCCGCAACGCAGACAGGATCGACAAGACCTTGGAGGAGAGAAGTTCGTCCTGTACGCGGACACAGCTTCCAGCGCGTGGCGCTCCGTGCCATGCTGGCGCAGCGATTGGCGCTGCAGCGCCGAGCACTTCATCGCCGTCCGAGCCCGCCGCGGGGCTCACGCCGATAGCCCCGTCGAAGGACGACCAGGTGGGGACGTCGTCGTTTTAGAGTACCCACAGCCTGCGGAAATCAGAAGGGAAAAGACAAACACAGACACAATGAACCGTCGATCCCCAATAAATGCGGAAAATAAGGGGAGTGGGGGGGAAGACAGATATCCAAAAAACATAAACAAATATGGGGGATCCTGGGAGTGGCGTGTATTCATTTGTGTGTCCCTGGGCCCCCTCAGGAAATCCCGCCAGCCCGCCCCCGAGGCCGCGCCGAATAGTTCGCCTGGCCCCTTGCGCATCCACCGAGGCACCGGCGGGCGCGCGCGACTGTTGCCGCAGCGCAGCCCGGCATGGCTGGGCAGCCCGCCCGGGGCCACGCCGCGCATCATGGCCGGACCGCCCGTCGGGTCGGAGCACGGTGGAGGGCCCGC